TTGATAATATAGCCAATCAATTTACATTTTTATAAGACATTATTAATCTTAGGTGAGATTTTATAAATCTTAATTTTGAAAAACTTCTTTAGATTGAGGCAATTGTTACAAGAATTGTTAACGTTATTATATAAGGAATATAGACATTTTAAAAAGGAATCAAGTCTTTTTATCTGATTAAATATATCAACTAAGGTATTATTTCTCACGATAGTTCTCTCTTGCGTCTCTATCTCTATTAACTTGTTCTTTAAACATCTTTATCAATTTGCTTACCCTTAAAAAGGGATAACAATTGAATTTATACGCAATTTTAAGGATATGTGGAGTAATTCAATACAAGTAATGAATGACGTTATATGTGCAAATTAAAGACAGAATAAGCAGCCAAACCACTAGTAATATTGGGTCCGGGATCGGTTATAAGCTTAACAAATAACCTGCCTTCAGTTCGGAGCCAAACACTTATGAAGAACTATGAGTAAAATAAAGAACTTTGAATAATTTTTAGAAGCAGAGAAAATAGATGTATATTGAATTGGTATGCGTGTTACAACGTGTGTATTAAATAACACTACAAAAAAATAGCATATAACGACGACTCAAATCCGTCGCTAAAGAGCCTTTTTCCGTCGCTAAGCAGGGTTAGCGACAGATTAGCATTTGTTGCTGATTTGCTCGTTGCTAAGCTCTTTGCGACGGAAAAATGGAATCCGTCGTAATATTAGCGGCGTTCTAGCGACGAACACTGTCCGTTGCTACAATTTGCGACAGAATTTCCGTCGCTATATTAGAAAATTGTGTCGCTAAATTCATAATGCATTTCGTCGTTGGCATAGTTTTGCGACAGAAAGTCGCTCGCTAATCCGTCGCCAATATTTTGAGACTCATTTCAGCTTTTCATTTGGCGACCAAAATCGTCTGTTGCAATCAGTCGCAGTGTTATTTTATATATTTATTTTTGTTACAAAAAATAACCGTCGCAATCTGTCACAATATTTTTCCCTTTTAGATCTTTTTTATCGAATATTTTAAATTTTTTCTGCTCATGCACATTGTATGTAAATTATTATATATCCTTAATAATAACTAAAATTCATACAAATTAACATACTTCAAGGTCCAAAATGATATCAAAATGCATATAGCTAATACAATTAAGTTCGAATTATCCCTAACACCAATAATAAAGTTCAAACCAAAAAGGTGCGAATTATCTCTAACACCAACAATAAAGTTCAAACACAAAAAGCTTCCAAACCAAAATGGTGTAGATTATTCCTAACACCAACAATAAAGTTCAAAACAAAAAGCTTCCAAATACGAGTCTTAGGGGTTAAGGTCATCATCTGAAACCGATGGATGAACCCCATGAACAGTAGCAGTAAGAGGAGCATGAATTGTTGGTACCACATCTGATGGGCGGTCAGTAGAAGTCAGTGAGGGTGACGAAATCATTTCACGCACCCACTCAGTCAATACTGGAAGCATACGATCAGTTAGCACAGGAACTATGTGCTCTGTTAGTGCAGGAATCAAGCGCATCACTAACTCATCCAGGTTCGATGCTGATTGAGCACTCGAAGGTGGTATTGACGATAAATCATTTGATCCAGAAGAGCCACGAAGATTCGGTCCATAGTAGCATTTTGCTTGAGATCCAAGACCATATACTCTTCTCTTCATTTCCCCTCCCGCGGCTTCGTAATACGCTATCCATTGATCAATATCCGATTGAGTTTGTGTTTGTTCCTGTAATATTTCCTGATACCTTTCCTGTAAAAGAGGTGTAATAAGTAGTGAAATTAAAACAGTTAAGAATGTTGAGCATTTAATTAACCAACAGAGAGGATACTTTTCATACTCTTTTTATATTGTAGTAAATAAGATTATAAAATATTGGACTTACATGCACGATTCGAGCTTTCTCATCAAGAAAAGATTTTCCATCATGCCCATGTGTATAGACGTACAAATGTAACTCACTTGGTGTCGGGTCTCGACCCTTTTCAACAGCCTATACAAAAAAATTATTTTTAAAAGGATAGAAAATATTACTATAGTAGAACCAGAAGTTTTGTCACACGTCACTGTTAACTCCATCTACGAAAAATACACGTCACTGTACAAAGACAAATTGAGTAAAGTAAGGTTCTTCAATCTCCTGAATAGGTTTTGAATACAGAAAACTACTTAATTTGAGGCATGTACGATAAGCTAAAAGGAGAGTTCCCAAAGGCAGCCTGGAAGATACTGTTATGCAATAATCAAGGAAGTCCCAAATGGATATTTATAATGTCTTTTGATATCTAGAAAAGACTTTACAACAGAGACATGCTAAGTAAATAGGGCAGCAATGTAGTACAACATGCCCACTATGTGAAGACGTAAGGGAGGACCACTAACACATGTTCTTTTAATGCAACTATTCAACAAACATATAAAGGAAGCTGTTGGTATGGCAGGGAATCAATAGAACTGTAAAAGGATATAGAGATGAAATTGAATGGACCATATCACATGCAAATGAAAGGCGCTTGCAATCTGAGGTACACAGGTTGATACTTGCTAGAAATATCTACCACATATGGCAGAAAAAGAACTGTAGAGTGTTTTAGCAGACTAAAAGGGTATTGAAGATGTACCAGACTGATCATGCAAGAGGTACATTGTAGACTCCTGAATATACAGATTCAATCGCCTACACTAAAGAATGACATTTTGACACCAAAAGCAGACACCCGACACAATACTTAAAATGATTCAACACCGCAGATATACTTCAAATGGAGAACTCACTGACCCCAACTTCTAAATTTATTTCCTTGTCATCAATTCTTCATGTATAACAAATTAACTGTATCTTCATTTTGCTTGCGCTATTATATTGTATCAACAGAAATGGCAACTTGTGCAAACACTATATATGGGAATATTAGAGTTTGTTGTAACCAAAAATGAGTTTAAATTTTATACCTTAATGCTGTAAGAAAATATTATTTACAACACCTATTTTTATTGCTTAGTCCGGACTCCATATGTACTACGAATAACTGATTGAGATCGTTAAAGAGAATGCACAACAACAATACCATTGTTCTGCATACTCGAAGGCAAAAACCTGTCTGTACACCTAAGGCCCTAGATATTAACATCTGATGATAGGTACTGCGTTTTCAATTGAGAGACGAGGCAAGCACCGTCTCCCGCATATAGAAAAAGCCAACAGTCTATAAATACCTAAATTAAAAGCTTTAGAACAGCATTTGAGTCATTTCACCCGCACAGTAAAGGGAAAATGACGAACATACAATTTTTTTTTAGAAACATGCAGAGAAGTCACTAACACTGCTCTGCTACATTAAACTAACAATCTTCTCATAAAAAGATAAGTATTGGCACTTATCAAGAACTAGAACAATGTCCAAACAATACAGACAATTACTTATGAATTCACTTCATATAGATGAACAAATTGAGGCAGATTTTAATGCTAGAACAATCACATGACAGTACATCATCTGAGACTGAAATCGCTACCTAGATCAGCGAGACACAAGGCCAAAACAGCTAAATACAAGCAGGAGGAAACATTAAGGTAGGAGTTCAACTATAACTGATGAATCATTTTCAATGTAAAATCATTTTCTTCTTTTATTATTGTTCGTCTGACAGTGCCAACTATAACAACTATCAAAAGGGAACATTTTCACTGGAAAAACTTTAGTATATTTTGATTCCTTTTGGACGATATGAAAGCTAAGGTTACTATAAGCAATTCTTAAGAAATTTTCAGTTCAGAGTTGCAATAAAGCTAAGGTGCGATATACTTACAAGTCTCTTGCGATACTCCCCAATGGAGACAAAGCCGCCTGTGTGAGTCCCGGTGGAGACTCCACCCCTACCGCCACGTTGATTATTTGCATCTATTTCTGACTTTTCAACACACTTGGGATCTTTCCAAAGTTGATCCCAACTTTCTCACACTTCTACTGGAACACCTCTTGGCCTAATTTTTTTAGTTTTCATTTTGGAAATGAAATCTTTGTACCTTATTGATGCCTTATTCTCCCATTGGCTCCTCACTGCACTATCAATGGAAGAGTCCTAATAGAATTTCTTCTGAAATAATTTTATAAAGTAATAACATTAATATCTTATTTATAACAGTTAATACACTTCCTAAATTCATTATATAATAAGAAGTTATACCTTGAATTCTCCCTAATAAAAGTTTTTTATCTCATCAGAGACACTTTTCCAATTGATTCCATTGGGATCAAGTTCATGCTTGAAAGATTTGAATATTTTCGTCGAGCATAATCCACTAGGTTTTAACCTGAAAAAATTTGAAGACAATAGTTGAAGGGGTATCATAAATCAAAATTTCTATATAAAAAATAATAGTATAAACGTGGGCTAACCCTGTAGGAGAAGAGTAACAAGTGTCCGCTACCCGCGACTACTGGTGCACTCACCTTCGCCAATTGTGTTGCTTTGAGTAGATATGCCCTCACATATTTGGTTACTCTGATCAGGTGTATTAGGAGATGATTCAGAATGGATAGTTGGGGCACTATCATGACCTGATGTTTGAACGGGTGTCGTACTGCTAGGAGCTAAAGTTTGTACTTGATTTATGTGATTCTGCCCAACTAAAGAACTCGTACCACCTTGTTGAGAACTAATTATGGGAATGGGAACCACTACAAGAAAAAGCCTTATCTAAGACCAACTTATAGGGACGAGCTAATAATCCCGTCACAAAAAATATATGTATTGGGACGAGATTATATTGCGGTCCCTAATGCTTTATTTTATTGCGAAGATATTAAATCTGGTCCCTAAAAAAATTAGTAACTGATCCCAAATTATAATTGAGGGGCCTTGAGGTGAGAAAGTGCCGCCAAAAATTATACCAAAATATTAGAAAACTATTATTTTCTAAAAAAATAGGCGCCACAGTTAATTTATTGAAATAAAAGTTCTAAAAGCTGAAACTCTCTGTATTCTCCAAAAACAAGCGCGCACAGATTTGCCCTAATACTCCGCCTAGCTCTAGAGCCCACATCGCTTATCTGCCTTTTCTCAAAACTCAGATTGTGAATTTCTGCCCTAATATCCATCTCGCCTTTTGAGATTAATCCAAGGTATGCCTCCTCTTTCAAGTTGCTCTTTTTCTTCTCTAAGTTGTTCTAAATCGCTGATTGTTATTCGAGTTCTTTTCCTTCTTCTTCTTCTTCTTCTTCTGCTACTACTACTTCTCTAACATTAAAAAACTGGTAAGGTTTCGTATTCTGGTATTTTTTCTTTTGTATAATCAGTGGAAAGATTATTGGGTACCCGCTACCGTCTGTCTATCTAAGGTTTTGTACTCTGGTATTTGAGTTGGGTTCCTAATTGGATAATTTAATTTCTGAAGTATATTCAAGTTTGTGGCATATTAGTTTTATGTATTCAGTGAGAGATTTACCGAGCCAAAACAGGGACTAGCATGTATACTGTCATATTGCAATGTTGATTTACATCTTAAAAGATATTGTCATATGTGATGGAACAGCGTGTATACTGTCATATGTATTTTAGCGTACCTGAAAAATAATAGCATCTAGAAAGAAGCAGTCTTTTAGTTGCGCGCGACTGTTTTGGATGATAAAGACTCTATGTTGATAAGATAAGAAAATTCAGTAGGTTGACAAGAAGTTATTAATACTTTCTTTAATTGTTCTTACTGTTCTGTTCTTCTGAAGCAAAGTTCAATTTTGTTATAGAGTCTATGTTCACAGGAAAAATAATTTACTTTGATGTAAGAATTGCAATTCCTATTCAAATTAATTGTGTCGTAAAGTATACTGTTTACGATTTTCTTTGTTGTAAGTACTTATTTCGATCTCGGAGCAGGCTATAAGAAACCATGTATGAATGTTTTAGGAAACAACATCTTTAATTACAAGTTAATTGATAATCTTTTGTCTAGATTAGTGCCATCTTATTGTATGTGTTAACTGAAAACATGGCTGATAAATCTGGAAAATTTATCTACATGACTGAGGAAATGATATTTATACAGTAAAGATGCATATTATTTAGTTGAATACTTGTGTTCCTGTTTGTGCCTCTATGTAGGAATCAAATACCATAATGCTTACAGTTATTGGCTATTTTTTACTGAAAGCAGTACACTGGAAAGTGAATCTCACACTGTCATAGAACAATTTCTGGTTTGCTGCCTATTTTTAAAACAATTACTCTTCTTCAGTTCTAAATGTGCACTTGGTCAGTTCTTGTGTTTGAGGGCATATAAGATGCCTTGGGCATGAGGATACAAATATGGCATTTGCTGTTTGAATATTCTTCAATTCAAAATTCATTGCTTCTTAGGGTAACTTTTGTTGGCACTTGATATTTAACTTTTAAGTTGTAACTCTGCTATGTGACAATTATTGTCCAAGTAGAACATTTGCAGACGTTCATATTTTGTAGATCTAATAAAGAACTAACTTTTAATATGAACATTACCTTAACAAGAGTTGAAGTTTTGGCAGAATGATAACTATAAATTGATGAAAAAGTATATGTTTCTCTGGTTTAGTTGGTCCAAAATTAGCCTAAGCTAAAATGATCAAAGTGAAGAATGAATCTAACTATTTCACTCTAACTATTTCAATGTACAAATATATGACAAGGAAGTTGAATGAATGAATGAAGTTAAGTGTGAATGGCCAAAGTCACCTAAATTTATTGTTTTCAATCGGTTGTGAGTTATTACTTGATCTATTTGTTTGTTTAGGTTATTTCTGGTTCTGGACTTCTTCAGTTGGTACTGAACTTACCATATGTTTATAAAGTTCCATTTTGCAATATGTTTCTCTGGTTTAGTTGGTCCAAATGTGCTCTGTATAATCATAGGAGATTGTTAACGGGTTCAACAGACTTCATAAAAAGTTTCGTTGCTGGAGAGTTGCCAGATATAATTTCAAATTAAATACAACTATTAGCACATATTCAGAATGCGACAGATTCAAAATGTTAGGATCAAAATGCAACAGATTGACTAAAACTGAACTAATATAAACTCAACCCATATATATTCAGATTATTGCAGGATAAATTTGAGAGTATTGACATGAATGATCATCGTGATCATATTTTCGGATGGATGAAAGAGTTATGAAAAATGGAGAGGACACTTGCATGCAAAATATGTGAAGGATAAGCCAATCCAACAGGCTCTTAAGAATATTCCAAAGGGAGCAGACAAGAAAGAATGGGAGTGGTTAATAAAGAAATATTTTTCTTCAGAAAGTTTTTAGGTATTCCTAATGATTTAATAATCTATTTCGCTAAAGCATCTGCAGCCTCATATTGTTAAATTTTAATAAATTTTATTAAATTTATTACATTTAAGCTTAATGTTACACAAATATAGGCGAGTAGCAACATGAATGCGGCAAATCGAGCTAAGTTAAAGATGCTTCATCATATTGGTAGCAAGCCTATTCGAGAGATTATTTATCAAAAAGTATTATCATAAAATCTTTATTTTTCTAAGAAAATATTTACGAGCTGTTACTTGACATGTTTGCCTTTGATGTAATGGGCAGAAAAGATGGCAATCCACCAGATTTGGCAACAATTTTCTTCGAGACCCGTAAGAAAGATAACAAGCTTGTTGAACCTGAAGCAATTGAAAAACATGTATGTTTGGTAAATTGAATTTGTAAATTACTTGAAAGTATTATGGATTCTGATTTTAAATGTATCTTTATATATTTTGTAGGCTCAAATCGAAGAAATAATTCAATTAGATCCATCTCTACCTAGCATAGAGATTGTAGAAAAATGTTGTGGACCTCAAACTCGTAGCCATGTGTTTGGCTTTGGGGGTGGAGTAAAGGCGAAAGACTTGAAAGGTGGAACTTCTTCAAAGGCTGAATTAATGTCCGCGCTATGTTCAACTCGAGAAGAGAACAAATCTTTAAATGAGGAAAACAAATCCTTGCAGGAGTGCTTGTCTACCTTAGATTATGACATGAAAGAAATGAAGAAAATGAAAGAGTTCTTCGCTGCTCAACAATCACATGTCTCGCTTACGACATCGCCCGTTTCAATTGAATGAACACTGTTTTGTCTGCTGGCCAAGTTAGTAACAATATACCCAACTTTTTAATTTATATAGTTGATTTGCATATAGCCGATTTCTATATTACAGATTCTAGCAGTTTACTTTTTAAATTTTTTTTTGCAATTCATCAGTAGTACCTGTGGCAAGAAGAAATAGCCTACAGAATAGTGATTGAAGCTAGATATGGATTGAATGTACAATGGTGCAGTACTTAGATGCTCGCGGATCTGTTTTGACCAATTACATATTTTGAACAACTAACTTAGCAAGACACTGTGCATACTATTTGCTTCTCCTCCTAGACACAATTACATCAATTAGTTGTTGCACTAACATCAGTGATACATGCTTAGCCGTTCCTTTCTACGTTTAATGACTCAATGGACCAACCAAATCCAGTAGCAGTTCCTTTCTACGTTTGAAGCTATAAACAGAGGTTCTCTATGAAGGCATAAGCACGCCATAAAAAGCAAATTCAAGATGAACTTGTCAAGTTCTAACTAAAATAAAGTTCAAATTCATTAGAAGGGACATACCCACTATTAACAGATCTTATAAGTGCCAACAAAATATATAGACTAACAGACAGCTTCTCATTGCACAGTAGTTAGTGATATTTTGGAACATGTTCATCACTGTTTTCGGTTTAAGATAGGTCATGCCTAACAGCATCAAGGATGCCTACATCAGTTGGATCTCTTGGAAAGTTGATAAATCCATGTAAACAGAACTTGCAAAGTGTTTCGTCCACCTGTGATCTTGTTAAGAGATATCTGGTGTTCCTATAGTTAGGTGAAAGAAAATTGCAGTTGCTTGAATTCAGTCCATTTTCTAATCCTTCTATTTATTCTCCTATATCTGAAGCTGTTGGGTTGGAAAAAACTCATCTTTGTTGATTGCTTGTCCTTGGGCATCTTGTTAATCATTTAGTTTAATGAGTTCAATGAGTGCTTCTGAAAAATGTATTTTTCTGAGGAGTACCGTGGGAAAGCTCCACGAGAGTTTGTCATACTCCTTGGACATATCAAGCTTTATGACAATATTCTCCTCTTTAAATTTACATATGTTCTTTTACCATTGTTATTTATCTTCTTTTCAAACTTTTGTACTTACAAATTTCGAAGATTGAAGCTACAAGTCAAGATGAAAGTTTAGAAGATTCACAAGCTCATTAATTATTTTGTTAGGACTGTTATTCAAAACTTGATATCATAATGTAGCTTAGGATGTTAGCTAAGTTTTTTTGTTAAGGTGTTGAGCAAATATAGAAACTAACATCATCATGGGATGTGTACTTGATATATTATCTTTTATATCTAGATTTTTCAATAACAATTTCATATTTCTTGATAAAAATAACTCTTTATGGCATTGAGCTTTAGGACTACTCAGGGTTAATAAGAGACCAGGAATACGATCGCTAAATTACAACATAATCTAGGACCAGTTAAAGGTTGATCGCTAAAATGGATTAACGATTGGAATATATATATATATATATATATATATATATATATATATATATATATATATATATATAAACGTCTATTAGGGACGAGATATATAGTTTAAAACTATTTCACGACCAGATTTTTTGCCCATCTCTTAAAGATAATCTAGGACCAGTAAAAGGTTGGTCGCTAACAAGGTTTAATGACGGGAATATATGAATTTTTCATCGTATATTAGGGACGAGATATGTAGTCTCTAAAACTATTTCACGACCAGAATTACTGCCCGTCTCTAAATCATTTTAACGACCAGTTTTTGTGACCCATCGTTATTGACTTTTAGCAGCGAAGGCTATTACGACGGGTTGCGACCAACTTTATCCCGTCGTAATTTCTCCTTTAGGGACCAGATTTGGCCTTTTAGGGACCAGATTTCCCTTCGCTAAAGGCTATTTTTCTTGTAGTGAACATAAGGCATATTTGCACGAATACCATAATTACCCCTACCCCTAACTGAGGACTTGCCTCCACGAGTTATGCTATCTCTGCCTCTCCCTTGAGTCATATCTACAAAAAAAAAAAATACATGTAAGAAAATTAGAGTCATAAATCGGTATAAGTCAAGAATTAAGTCCCTGCAAACAGAAAACATTGGTATAAGTCAAGAATTGGGCCATAATCACTGCTAGATTTTTCAATTTTATAGTAAGTGATAAATTTAGGGAAATGAGTGAGAAGTAGACATCAAAGAAAAGCAATAAATATAGATATATTCTTGCAGATAGCATCAACTTAGATTACAACAAACAAAACACATAGCATTCAACTTAGATTACAACAAACAAAACACAGTAAGATACATCAACATATTTTTAATTAACACACTAGTCACTATCTATTTCTTCTACGAAATCTTCCTCATCATCCTCGGTATCTTCCGTTTAATACTCAACTTCTTCTTCTTCTTCTTCTTCGATTCATGATGATCTAGCAATAATTCATCATCAACGTGCTCATCCATTTCAATCAAATCCCTATTTGGATCATATAGAAGAGTATATTTTCATCAACGACAATGTTCATATCTATCACATGATCTTCAACTTCTTCAACTTGGAAGGGGAGATTCACATCTGAAATTGCCATCACTTCCTCATCGGGTAATTAAAAAATATGCCGAGGTTTAACATTCAATACAACTAACCAATCCTCCTTGTCCTTTCCCTTGCTAGGATAAGGAACATAACACACTTGAGTTGCTTGCATCGCAAGAATAAAAGGTTCATATTTTTTATATCGACGACGATGGTTAACATCCACCAATTTGTATTGATTATGCTTTTTAACACCAACATTCATCGTTGGGTCAAACCATTCACTCTTGAATAATACAGTATTCTTTAAAGGTTCTTCATGGTATTCTACTTGTAAAATTTCTTGTATCCGACCATAGTAGTCACCAACATTTGGATCCGATATTGTGATGACCCAAAAGGTCATCACTTGTTTTAGAAATAAATTCAGTGTCCCAAGACCTAAAAACCCCATTTTACCTCACCTCGATTTGCGTGTGTGGTCCGGACCTATATCCGAAAAGCCTTCTATGTGAAAATATGAGAAATAGAAATTTCTAGAGTTAAAATTTGAGTATGGTTGACTTTGGTCAATATTTTTAGCAAACGGACCCGGATCCGTATTCCGACGATCCCGGGAGGTCTGCAGTAAAATATGAGACTTGGGCGTATGCCCGAAAATGAATTCCGAGGTCCCAAGCCTTAGAAATCAATTTTTGAAAGAAATTGTTTTGCTGAATTATCTAAGAAATGAAGAAAAGAATTAATGTTTGAAACCATGGGTATCGGACCCGTATTTTGGTTCCGGAGCCCGGCACAAATTTGTTGTAGTATTTAAATGATAACTGTAAAATTTGGTGAAAAACGGAGTTTATTTGACGTGAGTTGGACTTCCGGTTAAAGAGTTATGAACTTTAAGTATTCTTGATGAAAATATTGAGTTTTGAGGTTTAATTCATAGTTTTAAATGTTAATTTGATGATTTGATCGCACGAGTAGGTCCATATGATGTTTTTGAGTTAGTACGCACATTTGGTTTGAAGTCCGAGGGCTCGGGTGAGTTTCCGGTAGGTTCCGGGATGTCCTAGGCTTAAAACATAGCTGTTGCAGGTTCAGAGAAGTGCAGATCTATGAACCCGCCGGTGCGGTCCGCATTGATTTTGTGTTGTCCGCGGTGGGGGCTTTGCGGCCACACTCGATTTTGTGCGGTCCGCACAAGTTCACTGGTCCGACTTCGGAAGCCTACATCTTTTGATCTACAAGTAATTTTGAGATGATTCAAAAATAAAAGTTGTAGCCCTTCGTGTCTAGTTTTCAGAAAGGTAGAGAAATCACAATTTGGACATCTGTAGAGAAAGTTATGGCCAAAATACTAAAGCATGTCACTGCAGTCAGCATTGTGAGCTCTGCGGCCGCACTCCTTTTTGTGCGGTCCGCACAGGGGGTCTGAGAGGGGTATATTTAAACGGGATTTTCAGTTACTTTTCATTTTTCAAAACCCCAAAAAAATAAGAGGCGATTTTTCAAATAACCTTTCTTCTCCAAAACATTAGTAAGTGATTTCTAACTCATTTTCTTTACTCCTTAACTTCTCTTTACAAGATTTCATCCTAGAATCTAGGGTTTTCATGGTGGAATTGGGAATTTTGGGTAAAACCTAAGAATATTGAAATTTTGGGATTTAGACCTTAAATTGAGGTCGGATTCCAGAACCAATTATATATCCGGGCTCGGGGGTGAATGTGTAATTGAGTTTTGGTCCAAATTTCAGGTTTGGACCAAGCGGGCCCGGGGTCGATTTTTGACTTTTGGGAAAAACTTTAGAAAATTTATTTTCATGAATTAGAATTGATTCATTTGGAATTTATTGATATAATTAAGTAACTTGTGGCTAGATACGAGCGAGTTGGTGGTGGGATCAAGAGGTAAAGCGATAGTTGAGACTTGAATTGTGTTCGTGGCATCGAGGTAAGTATTTGGTCTAACCTTAGCTTGAGGAATTAGGAGTTGTGTCCTATTTGCTATGTGATATTTGTTGAGTACGATTTATAGGCATGGTGACGAGTATCTATACGTTGGTGTCAAGCATGCGCGTGAGTCTTATATTATGATTATTATGACTCCGTTTGTATTGTTCATGCCTTTTGTGATGATTTCTATTGTCGAGCAAAGTTTGTGGAAGAAATGGTGAGATTTGAACATTGAAGAGCGTTGGCTCAAGTTGTGAAGTGAATTGTGAAAGAATGATTGGCAATTCAACCTAATAGAGCATTGGCTCAAATTGTGAATCGAGTTGTGAAGTAAATGTGAAAAAGAGAAGAGGATTATGGTATTGCTCCCTTGCCGAGATGTTGTTGCTTTTAATATTGTTCCCTTGCCGGGATTTTGTTGTTTTGATATTGTTCCCTTGCCGGAATTTTATTGTTACGCCCCGCAATATTACGTCCCGCAGTATTATATTACGACGATGTTACCCTCTGCAGTAATATATCACGATTGATGTTACGCTCCGCAGTAATAAGTTACAACGATGTTGCACCCTGTAGTATTTTACGTTGTATTTGTCGTAAGGTAATTGACATCAATCCAAGGAAAAGATTATTTGGGGATTATAAGAATTATGCTATTTCATAAGTGATTAGTAAATTCATGAAGGTGAAAGGGGGAGCAAGTCTAAGAAAAACGAATTTTGTCAAAGTTTGGCATTTTGGGATAAAATACGGCCCGAGTTAAAATATCTGGTATTTATGGACTAGTGTCATTCAAGGTACTACATGGTCATGATAGAAAGATGTATAAGGTATGTGAAAAGTGAGTAATATTTTAAGTAATTCGGGGCAATTTTTAAATTATGCGGGTAATTGATTAATCACCGGGTAACGGAACATTATCCAGTTAGCTAATAAGTGGGTAAATATTACTAATCTTCAGCCACTCTCCACGTGGTACAAGGCCACCAATTTAAAAGGTGACTCATAACTATTGTAAAGAGGTGTCTTACACCTAAGGAATAAGAAAAGTTTAATTTTATTAAGAGATAAAAGGAATTTTTACCTCCTATAGCAAAGGTTAACACCTTATTTATTTTAAATAAATACCATTTAAAAAAATTATATTCTATAGATTCCTTTTAAGGTTTATAGAAAAATATTTAATTTTGGTTACCTCCTAGCCCTAAGCTACTAAATACACTATTCAATTACACTATATTCTTTCTCTCTCTACTTTGATACATCCCATGCTCTTCCCTCATTCCCTGAAAACACGATAATCAATCTCAAAATACCTCTCACCCACACTATTTTCTTTTCATTCCGATCAATTCTTGCACTGAATTGAATATATTGGGTAGCAGCGGACCTCAGGCTTCCTGATCGAGTCTTCCCAGGCAAAAATTCATTCGCAATCCATCAAAACTCAATTATGAATCGGTGACGGAGTCTTTGGGATTTCATCGGAGGGAACAATCTGACCACCCTCATCGCTTGATACTTGAAGAATATCTATCTAATTTACAATAAACAGAATTTGATTCAGCTAAAAAGAGCTGAAAGTGTCCGTTCGCTAGCTTTTTGTTTGCCCTTCTCAGCTGAAGCCAAATTCTTCCCCTGAGAGTTACGATTTTTAGTATCAAACTTCTCATTTACTTCTTCAATACTATGTTCATGCAAAGAAACATGCTTCCTGATCGAGTCTTCCCCAGGCAAGTTTGATACTAAAAATCGTAATTTAATGTATCTTGTTGTATTCTATGTATTTTATTG